CCCCAAAACCCCAAAACCCCAAAACCCCAAAACCCCAAAACCCCAAAACCCCGGGCTAAGGCTGGCCAATTGAGGTTACAATTTCAGAAGAAAATTATTTTGGAATTATATAAGTCCTTTTACGATACCCTGAAGTTGAAGGCTTCGGTCTCTGGTTCAGTCGCTCTAGAGGTTAGCATGGGAGAATACCCTCGTTGAAGTTGAGCAGATATGACTTCTTGTCGTTCATCGAGTAGTTCACACTGTTCTGCCCTGGATTATTACTAAAATTACTAGAGATGATCAAAGATGGTGCCTACTTTGGGTTCCTAGCAACTGGTCTCAACAGAAAAGAGTTTGTATTAGCCTTTTTATACTCTATACATAAGAAAAGATAATACTATTTGGATAAGAACTGTACTCGTTTAATCCAGGTTTTGGATCATTACCTCTTCTTCGAGGCTGATGAGAAGTCAGACTTGCCCTGTTCAGTCCAATGGTGTTCTTCCCGCTTCCTCTCGGCTTATACTTTGATCTGATAGAGTCTGTCTCTACGAGGCATTTGACCTCTAAAAGTTATGAAATCCATAATACCAGATTCTTTATTGGTAAAAGTGAGTCCACTCAAAAGAAGGTCATTTATCTTCTTCCTTGAGTTTAGAACCGGTTTGCTGCTCTGAAAGTTAGTCTTCATGTAATCATCATCAGTGCTGTAATTATTTGATAGAAATTTGAGGATATTGGATGCCTCCCTCATCCTCTCCTGCTTCTTTTGTTCGAAAGATTTACCACTTAGCTTAGAAACAAACATTAATCTTTTCTTGATAGAATCTATCCCTCCATCTGCGGTTGAAGGAGCCTGCGATGGATGGAACTGCTGGTATGAGTTATACGAACCTGGGAAATCTACACAAAATTTAGCACTAATTATGGATTCTAACTGTATTTTTCCAAAATAGTAACAGAATTATTCAAGATACAACCCCTACCTTCAGATTGATCTACCTGAGGAGTATGGTGGTTGAAATGATTATCAACAGACTTCCCATAGGCACTCCGAGGCTTATTCTCAGTTCTAAAATAGTGATCATAATCCCTATTATTCTTCCTCCTCTTCTCCAAGACTAGTTTGAAGCTCTTAGCATTCTCTTTATTTTAAATTCTCAATAGAGTTGTTAGGGAAACCTTTTAGCTTTTCAGTGTCAAATATTTTGATTCTAAATTTTACAAAATTTTACTTACTTCTGCTGTATATGGATCTTGGGCTTAGTCCCTTTATTCTCATCAATAGGTCTGTAAGGCTTGCTTAGTACAGATTTTTGGAGGAAACTCTTTTTAGCCATATCTGAAAATTTCCGTTTGCTCTTCGGAGAGGTCTGGCGTGGAAGGACCTTTGCCTCCTCTAGTTCATCACGCATGGATTTTGATTCTTCTTGGCTGTTATTACTATCAGCAATATCTTTCCCAAGAAGGTTTCATTCTTCATCATCAGAGTCTGAAGAATATCCCTCGCTAGAGAATGAGACAATTTTGCCTACCTTTCTATTTCTTTAATAGGCTCCTGATTCATAGAAGAAAGCGGAGCTTTACAAATCCCTGATGAATATGCAGGGAAAGTGGAGATTACCTTATCTCATCAGTCAGATAAGTCTCTAGTAAGTTCCTCTGATAAAGTATCCAGCTGGACAGATGGGATCCTTACTTGCATTGAAGATTCCGAATTCAAATAAGTTGTTGGATTGGTTTCCTCTGAACTGTTTATTTCTCCATAAATTTGTTGCCTATGTTGTTAGAAAATTGCTTACTCATAATTCTGAGCTTCAGTGTTTAAATTTTGCATAAATTTGTTATGAGTCAGATAGGAAAGAGTTCTGACAAGATCTTTACCCAAGTTCTGGAAGTCTTCAATTCCCATATGTAGATCAGTGCCTTCGTCATCTCAATCTCTCATGTCTCTTCCATAAAAGGTAGATTCTTGAGTATAAGAATGTAGGATTCCTAGCTCTTTAAAGCAAACAATTCTTCCAGTTTTCTCTTTGGACTTCTCAAGCTTAAAACTACAACCTTTGAAATTGAAGAAATCATTTTTATTTGACAACAATGAAGGGAAGGATCTTAGTTTGAAATTTTTTGTGAATCCTTTCCCTTCTTTATTATCATATGTACATCCATACATGAAGGCATTCTTTTTCCGGGAATGTCCATGAAGATCTCAGAAGAGCTCAATCTGAGTCTCTTCCTGAAACACTTTCATCATCTTATTTTAAATAATAAATAGTAGGGTCTAGATGCTTTCTAGGATCAAGCCATCTACGGTTTAGATCAAATCCGAGTAAAGAGCATCTGTAGTTTCCATATATCACTCCATCAGGATTCAGCATTGGAAGGATCTTGAAGATGTAATGCTTTCTAAGCTGGACAGCCACTGGGTCATTGCTTACAAGGAATTCAATTAGCCCTTGCATCACCCATGAGGACTGGGCTTCTCCTGGATGCACTCTTGACGAAATTACAATACCTTTCTTAGTGCCATGGATTTTATTTATAGTTTTAAAGTTCCTCTCTAGCTTATTATTCTTCTTTTTCTTCTTGCCTGAGGTGTTTCCTCCATAACCTTTGAACTTAGGCTCCTTATCTGGCTTAGAAGGCTTACCGTAGAAAGTCTTTTCAGGACTTTCAGAGCCACCAATAAGTTGAGTTCTTAAATTATTCTTTGACATCCTAGAGATTTGAAAGGAAGCTTACCATTTCAATTCTTGGTTTCAATCTCTGTAGCTTTTCACTCTATCTGTGATGGTGATCATCTTTCAGTCATTTCTTGCTAGCGTTTTACATAGAGTTCCGATTCTCAGAAAATTATGATACTTCTGCTCTCTCCCAATTTTATGCAGAAACGGTAATAAGTTGCCGTTATAAGTGTATGGAACCGCATGGGCAAAACTCACTTCGTCATTGTCAGCTTTCAGTGTATAGGTGAAGCTGAGAGTAAAGTAGTAATATTGAGCAAGCTTCCCATTAGACTTCACATTTTCTCCAGGTGCTTTATTCCTATCCCTTAGAATACTATTACGAGTGTAAGAGATATCGTGGCAGTCTCTATGCCATCCTTCCTTAGGCTTAAGTTTTGATTTGACACAAGGCTTCATTCCATAATTGTACAAACTATCAGGCTTCATTAAGTTCAAGATATTAAGCTTAATCGAAGTGCCTTCACTCAGTTTAGTCATGATCTTGAAGTAGTACCATTGTGTATGTCCATTTGTATTGTAGTCAAAATTCAATATCAGGTTGTACTCAGTATCAGACACTTTAATAGCTTTATTTAAGGTTCCCATTCTCAAAACGAGATTCGAATCTGACAGGTATCTCATCTTCTGGAGGAGTGGTTAACTTATACAGCCCTTTTCCATTATTATCAAACTTTCTGAGCTTAGTAAAGTTGAGGTTGCAATTTTCAGAGATTTGGTTGTCTATTTTGATATTCTATCAGCACTTACTTGCCTTTCTGAGAAAATCCTTGAGCTTTAAATGCCGGTTTAGTAAAGAATTATCTGGTTCTGTTTCATTAATTTCACTTCCAGAATTGGCTATATTTTTGGTTAAACTATTATTTAGTACGAATAGACACAGATGTATAAAACCAACTAGCTTCAAGTGCAAATTTACAACTAAGTAACAAGTTGGGATTTTATTTAGGAATAATCTAATTTGGTTCGCATGATTTTGCAGTCAAGCAAACAAGAATAATGACCAATAGAAGACACAATTTGATATCAGTTTTATTAGCTGGATCTTGATCAGGAGGAATTCGGATGTATTCTCTACTAGGGAAATAACGTTTTAGTGTCAAAATTTGCCACAAACGGTATGACTATAAACTCACCCATGGGATATAACTCTTGCTTAGGTCTGGGCTGACAAGGTATCTCTGCATCAATATCATAAATCAGGATGCCTCCATGTTGTTTCCTATACAGAGGCAAGAAGTTAGGCTGCTTAGTATTAACATCAAAAGGATTATCATTTTGTGTATTATCATCATCAAATTCATCAGAGGAAGAGAAGCAAGATTCCAAGTCAGCCTGATTAGAGTGATATTTCTTAGAAGCAATCATCATGCGAAGACTGACATCTTCTTCGGTTGGTTGATTATCAGTAACGTCAATCACTTCAATGTCGCTTTGAGATATACTTGATTCCATAGTTATTATTATTGTCAATTAAAGTTTTATTATTTGGGGTTTTGGGGTTTTGGGGTTTTGGGGTTTTGGGG